CTTTCAGTTTCATTCGTGGCAGTTTGCGCGTTGGCTTGCTGAAGAGATGCTCAGCTACTTGTCCGCAGCGATGCGTGTTGCATTAGCGCAGTCTGACTAATGTCATATAGCCTATAACACGCTCACACGTTTATTATTTGAACATTTTGGGAGGAGTAAAATTTACATATGTGGTTTCAACAACCAGATGCATTTACACTTGTCCAGTTTCGTCTGGAATGCGGCCCAGACCACCTCCTGAAGTGGTTTGAGCGATCGGATTTATATCCGTCTCGAATGCGTTTCGGAGGGCATTTACACCTGGTCTTTTCACGATCGGATAGCTATCCGATCAGAAAAAAACGCATGAAGTGACCAGGTGTAAACAGGCCCTATATGTTTGAATTCCACTCCTCGTCTCCTCGCTCCTTCGTCTCCGTGCTCCTCACAGTAGCGTACCGTGACAGCTAGAGTCCCCCCAGTGAATTTTGGCCATTTCCACCACTGCTGATCACACACATCAAGTGTGATGGAACCAAATTTTCATCAGTCTCTGAATAAAGATGAAAATGAAATGTGTTGTTGCCGGAGTTGAAATTAAATATATGATCTGAAGGTGCGGATATAGACAGCTAGCTGGACTAATTCAGTTTACTGAAAAGTAACACTAATCAACAAAGGCGTCATCAGAGGTTAGTTAATTTATTTGAAGTGATTGTTTTGACCGTCTCGTTTGATTTTGGTTGATAGTGTCAAAATGCCTAGTTGTTTTTGGATGGCATAATGAAAATGTCAGTTTGTTTTTCATTTCTTTTGACAAATAATTAATAAAAAAAGAGTTTAGAGTGTGCTGTAGGGCTGACCAAAACAAACAAGTGTCAGTTTAAATCACTCCGTCATGTTTTTTTTTTTTTTTTTTTTTTACATGTTGGAGGATTGGCATGGCATTTAATTAGCTGATGATGTCTCTCTGGCCTTGGCCAGGATTAAGTGTTTTTCTTCAGTCCAAACTAATTAACTGACTTCACAAAACAAATGCCTCATGAATAAAAACAGTGGAATATCCAGTGATGCACACACACACACACACACACACACACATCGAAGCTCATCAATTAACAGTGTTTTTTCCTTCAGATAAGTGCCTCCACATGCCCACACTCAATGTTCGCGGGGTTCTGAACAGGGGGAATTTGGAGTTTTTCCTCCCTGCAGTGCTAAAAATGCCTTGGGCTGTTTTTACAGCTGCAGCCCAGGAAAACCATGGCTAAGCTCCCCCTGCAGGCAAACTTCTACCCCATGACCAGCATGGTCTACCTGCAGGACTCCAGCGCCAGACTCTCTCTGCTCACCGCACAGTCACTCGGAGCGGCCAGCCTCAAGAGCGGTCAGTTTTAACTCACTTCTGAGTGCTTTTTTTTTTGGATCTGGGATGTTAACATTGATAATGAGAAGAAATGTGCAGCAATGAGCAGCCAATCAGCATATTAGAATGATTTCTGAAGGATCATGTGACACTGAAGCCTGGAGTAATGATGCTGAAAATTCAGCTTTTACCATCGCATTAATAAATTCCATTTTAAAACATTAAAATAGAACAGTTATATTTAAATATTTGAACATTTTACAATATTACTGTTTTACTGTCTTTTTTGATCAAACAAATATGCTATTACCATATTGTGATGCCCTGTCCGGCCGGAGAGATGAGACAAAAACATTAAAACCCATTATAAACAAGGCTTTTTCAAAAACAAATCTTTTACCTACCCCAAACTTTTAAATGTCTAAATTAATTTAAGCATTACAGCATTGATTTGGCACTGAAAAAAAAAAAATAAAAAAAAAAGATTGATTTTAGTTTTAAGGGTGTTGTATTTTTATTTCTTTTAGACAAAATGAATTTTTAATATCATCTGAGATGCTCTTTGGATCATTCTCAAATCATGCTGGAGAACATGATCAACAGATTTGACAGCTTAAGTGCTGCTGTCATGAAAGTCAAACCAAATCCTGAGACATTCTGAAAAATAAAATGCTCTTTTTAATGAGAATGTCCCTCTCACTTCATTATAAATACCACATGCCAACCTAATGCTGCAACAGTTACAAAACCGTAAGCAAATCATTTGACAGCCTACTATTTAGACACATCAATGACCATCAGAACTGTTATTCTCGGATTTTTGTTTGAATAGATGTGGCCTTTCTCCACTCAGGCATGTTGTGTGGTTGTTTTATAAAAAAAGATTTATTAGTTTGGTGCTCAAACAGCAGGCTCTATGGTCTCGTGGTCTGTAGAGCACATGATTTATGCATGTCCATTGGAGGCATCAGTGGGTGTTGTGGTGAAGTATGTGTGACATCCTAATGAAGCTCATTGGTGTGGATTCCACAGGTCAGCTGGAGGTGATTATGGACCGCAGGCTCAATCAGGATGATAATCGAGGTTTAGGTCAGGGAGTCCTGGACAATAAGATCACTGCCAACTCCTTCCGCCTACTGCTGGAGAAGAGGAGCTCTGCGGAGGAGGTAATCAGGATGGAGAAATAATTGAGCTAAAGAAGAAAAAAATGTACACCCATTAATGACCACTTGCTCTCAATGTCTGGATCTTTAGAATTTTGGAAGTTCCCTGCTGAAACTCAGTTAAGACCTTTATTAGGTGATATTAGATATAATTTACATGTACACTTAAGCATTTGGCAGACACTTTTATCCAAAGCGACTTGCTTTGCATTGAAGGTACACATTTTTTATCAGTTTTTGCTTTCCCATGACCATGGCGTTGCTAGTGCTGTGCTCTACTGTTCAAGCTACTGTTCTACTGTTTTTCATACTGTATATCATATTGTTGTGATGTCTAAATGTACATGTAGAATTTAAAATGATTGATTTTAGTTTTTAATGTTTTTCAACTATGTATTTAGACTCAAGGTTCGAAAATTTGTGGTCGGTAAGATTTTTTTAAACTATTTTTGAAAGAATTCATTTATGCTGATCAAGGCTGCATTTATTTGGTCAAAAAAGATAACTGTAAAACCAGTAAAATTGTGAAGTATTATTACAAGTATAAAAAAATCATTTAAAAAATCATTCATGTGATGGCAAAGCTGAATTTTCAGCAGTCATTTTACTGCAGTCTTCAGTGTCAAGAAACATTATTATTATTATTATTATTATTAATAATAATAATAATGAAAACAGTTGTAATGCTTAATATTTTTGTGGAAACTGTAATTGTCACGGTGATGCAGGAAGGAAGGCGAAGACAGGAGGTGCAGTTCAAACTCACTTTATTTAATGAACACGGGCAGAATGGTGAGGGAAAACACAGCATAACATAACGGTGACCGGAACACCAAAGACTGAACAGACTGGGGCTTAAATACATAGACAAACGAGGGTAATTAACGGGACACACCTGAACAGGAAAACAAGTCTGACAGTAATACATTTTTTTCTTGATTTTTGATGAATTGCAAAGTTCAATATAACAGCATTTATTTTAAATATATCTTTTTTGCAACATTTAAATGTCTTTACTGTCATTTTTGATCAGTTTAATGCATCCTTGCTTAATAAAAGTATTAATTTCTTTAAAAAAAAATCTTACTGATCCCAAGATTTTTAAAGGGGTGGTTCACTGTTTTTTTTCTAGGCTTGATTGTGTTTGTGTTAATGCTTCGTTTTAAAAAAAAACTCATTATTTTTTACATAATTTACCTTTATTCCACACCGCTCTGTCCCTTCTCTGAGAAACACGCTGATCATTTCCTACTTTTATGAAGCCCATCCCTCAGAAATAGGCGATGGGCTCTGATTGGTTAGCTAGCCCAGTGTGTTGTGATTGGCTAAACCGCCTCTAGTGCGCGTCT